TGGTCTGGGATGGAGGTTGCCTAGTAACACTCCTGTTTTTCCTGAGCTCAAGAGGAAGCCAGGGAATCACGACAGAGTGTAAAAAAGGAAACAATCATGGGAGCAGACACAGATGGGGTGCAAACCCATAAAATATGTATAGACAATAACAGCAGGCATTGCTGTAACACACCGTTGAGGTCACATGGGGTCTCATCTCACCCCTTGTGACCACTTGTACTGAAGACCCTCATCCTAATGAGCCCCATATGTTTCCTTCTAAACTGTTGATTGAGTTGAGGATAATTTAGTTTTTTCTACTTATTGCCAATTCTTTAAATTTAAATTTGAAAAATGTGAAAATAAACAAAATAAAGGGATCTACAAAGATGTCAAAACGTTGGAGATTAATGATGACTTGACTAATGACTTGATGACCTTCAGTGTGGACTATTAAAGTGTCTACAGGTTGTTGACTGTTTGAACGCAGCAGCCTTAGTCCATATTCATACAGATTTCCATACACAGATGAACAAACCCATATGAAGCCGTCTCATTGCAACAACATCGTGCAGTTCAGATTCAGTGCACCATGCATGAAAACTACATACAGTATACTGTAAGAGTGCTGTTATTTACAGAATTAGATCATTATATAACGCTGCTTCTCACATTAATGGAAGTGTTATTTATTTTATTTTCAATCTGTGTCTCATTAATGCCAAGACCTGAGCTGAAAAACTAATTCATCTGTTTAAACTTTTGGTTTTTGGAATTGATTATATTATTGACTCTTCTTCCACAGCTGTTCTATTCTATTCTAGTCTAGTCTATTCTACTTCTAATTTATGAGTGATAAAATAACAGAACCATTACCACTAACAATTACACAAGTGTTACAATTATGTTTTTAATGTTTGTCATATAGCTACAGTGAAATGTAAACTTCACTCATATAAAACATACTGTATCCAATATTAAAGAATATAAAAATGTAAAAAAATAAGTTGAGTAGAAATACATGAACATTAGTTAAAACCAAAGTACCACGGCCAAAAATAATCCTGTGTAGAGACAACACACACACAGTATACACACACACACACACATCCCTTTCCTCAATTATAGTAATAATTAACAAACAATGCACTTTGAACGCTCTTAGAGTTAAGGTACATTTCCCATTAATTATATTATATTATATTTACAATTTAAATCAATACAAACACCATTTAAACAGTCAGACCAGTAACTCAGTCAGAATCACTTGTCTCCACACACAAACGAACTACGGCTGAAGAATCATTGTTTTGAATTTTTAATCAACTCATTTATTATAAATAAATATTTCATCACACGTACACCTAGATTATGATAACTCACCAGTGTTGCTTTTCTTCTCCCTCCACTTCCCCCGCTGCTCTGCTGCTGGTGTGATGACTGAAGCACAGTCGCACTCTCTGAGTGTGTGTGTGTGTGTATATGTATGTGTGTATGTGTGTGGTGTCTGTCTCTAAAAAGTGTGGGCTAAAGACAGAGACAGAGAGAGAGAGAGCGAGAAAGAGAGGTATAGCATGAGTGAGTCACCCAGCTCTCTCTCTCCTCCTTCCCCTCCGTGTGTCTCCCATTATATTTCTGTTTCTCTGTGGACTAATTTTCTTGGAAATTATTTCTAATAGCTCATCTTGTCTTCTGTCCTTCGTACTGGCTCGCCGGTGCCAGCTGCTGCTTTTGAGTTGCTTCTACTCGAGCTCTAATCTTTATAGAAAATCTAAGCCACTAGTTGTAATGGATGTTGTTATCACCAACTGCACTTGGCTCTATATTGCAATTAGGATTTTCTCGAACATATTTTTGACGCACATTTTATTTTAATTATTTCTTTACATGTATTTCTTGTAACATCATCATCATCATCATAACGTCAGTAAAGTATTCCAGATTCTGATTCAGGTCTCTGGAGAGTCTGCTTCCTAATCTACTGGGTTTCAACAACTAAGTAAAAAGTGATGGGTTTCAAAAGTAGACTTTCCAAATATATTTCTAATGTTCTTTTTACCTAAGGAAAAAGAAATCAATTGGATGGAGCTGAATCAAAGCCTGTGAGGCTTCAATAACTTAACAGGAGAGAACACGGATGACTAAATATCTCATGATGAAACCTATCGAAAAAATAGTCGGTGTGAGACGGTGGGGAGATTTCTCTCACTTGTCACAGGTACTTAAGTTAAAAAAACACCTGTGTTGGTTGTGTCTGTGCCAAATGGTTAATATAAATAAGGCATTAACTCAAATGGTCACAGTTTAGTTTGTCTGGATTTCAGGTTTCATATTTCTGCGTGTGGCTTCTCTCATTTTTATTGTCCTCATCTGAGCTTTGGAATAAATTCAAACCTCATTATCACTATTCTTTTCATACCTTTGTTTCTCTCCGTCTCTGTTTGCCATATCACTCTCCTGTCTCTCTCTCTGTCTGTCTGTCTTTGGCTCATTCTCCATCCTTCAGATCTTCATCTTTTCTTTGTCTCTCTTTATTCGTCTTCCAGAAAAGCTGTCCTCCTCGCCCCATCCCTTGTCTCTCCATCATCCCATCTCTTTGTCTCTGAATATAGTCGTCTTACATTTTGAGACTTTTTTCTTTTCTTTTTTTTACTTTGAAGTGCCGTCCTTTCTCCCTGTGAGTCTGTTTTGTTCAGCTGCACACAGCGATGTCATGACATGTCTGTCTTTATTGGTCGTTTCTTTCTGTCTCTCCGCCCTCCGTTACTGTTCAAATTGCAAACAAACTCTGTAGCTCATTTCTGTGTGCAGCCTGTTGACACGTACAGTACCTGAGTTCACCTCCGACACTGTCGAATTTGGTGTGTGTGTGTGTGTGTGTGTGTGTGTTGACATGCTCTATCTGCCCCCTTGTTTCCATAACAACACAACCAAGAAGAAAATCTTGTGATGTGTCAGAGTTGGTTGACGACACCTGTCTTTTCAGAAAACCTCGTTCTTAACATTCAGCTGTTCTCCCAGAACACTGGAAACAACAGTGGTGTCCAACATGTGGCTCGCAAGGGACAAGCAGCTCTCCAGCTTTTTTGTATTTGGTCCGTGTGTGATTTTATGTAACGTGTATGATTCATAGAAGAGTGCAATGTGTTTTCCTTAAATTTTGCAAACTGTTATACACTGGGGCCTCGAGATACGAGTTTACCAAGTTACAAGTAAGCAACTATTAGTGCTCAACCGAGCTCCATTTCTTCCACTCGACTGTGTCTCTCTCACCGTCCCTCGCTCGGTTATTTTACCCATTTTTATAACAATAATATAAAATCTTTTCTTAATTATTATTATTTATATCATCAATATATTTGCGGATATGTATGTTTTTGATGTTTAGATTGGGATTAATTAAATTATTTAATATTATATATCTGGGGGGCTGGAACGAATTATTATTTTGCCTTATTTTCATTTTCGAGGCCTATATTCGTCCCCACAACGGGGACACAGGCTGCTACAGGAAGCACCATTAACTATATGGTTCCTCTTGGACTCGAACCCAGCACATTCTGTGTGTAAGGCAGATACAGTATATAAGGCAGACTTGCTAACTGCTACTCTTTAGGACCACAATCACAGCCGAACTTACCCTTTTTGATTAGTTTAACTGTCATCATTTCAGGCTCCGTTAAAACACACGCTTCAAACAACAGCTACTTGGTCCGAGAGTGAACACGCTGTGAACTTTACCCACTTCGCAGGCCTGTGGGTGCTGCAGGACTCCACCTTGGTGAACTAGCCCACTTCCTCTTAACCGCCTAAAGGCAGCAAGAGAGGAGAGACAGAAGAGGAAGAGAGGCGCAGGGGGAAGGGCTTGTAGCTTTCATTTAGAGTTAGAAATAAGCAGAAGTGAAATGTTTTGTGGAGACACTGAGAGGGAGACAGCATTGTGTACATGAGCGTCAGCGTAAGAAAACAAAAAGTAGAACTTTCACCAAAGACTTCATGGCTCCGTGGGCGAGGACCACTGCAGAGCGCTACGGAGTAGGTAAGTTGAAAACCTCGCTTAGATTTGGGCAACTGTGCGTACGTGCAGGTTTTCAACTGCGTACTTTGTCGTACGAGGAGGTGGTGGTAAATAAATGAGAATGAGAGAAACGGTTTCCCATCACTTCCTGCTTCACAGGATGTGAGCAGGTGCTAATGGCCTTATCAAACATCAGCATGTACGTGCATGCCCGAGAATCAAATTTGATTTATGTTGATGGACTGAAATTAACTGAGCAATTTCTCTGCATTACATGATACCGTATATCACATAACAACATGACCTCATACCTGCATGAGAAAATAGATTCAGCCTCAAGTTAGTTACTCCTGAGTGTACAACAACAATCTGAAGTCTCCGTGGTGTCCGGGTGGGATGTGGCCCACACTGTTAGCAGCAGTTTCTCTCTGTTTTGCACAAAACGAACGCAGAGCACGAAGACGTGTATTTTACTTAGAAATGTCACATTACAGCGATCCTGTGACCTTTAGCTGATGATGAATTGATTTATGTTGTTTCCAAAAATTGAACAGAGTTGAATTACCTAATATTGATTGAAATGTAACAAATAAAATAATAAAAGAAGAACTCAACGTCAACTCAAATGATTTAAAACTACAGCGGGTAACAAATCTATAGTAGTCAGGATTAATGTGTGTGTAGAACACATCATGACAACACAGGAAATGTTGAAAGCATGAAAGATCTATGTTTGTATGAATGTATCTATCTGACTTGGTGGGTAGGAAGTGGCCTTGTGTCCAAAATGTCGCAGGTTTGAATCCATACACATTCGCACGAGCTGCCCTCTGCCCACTTAGTGGGGGCTACAACTACATCGTACAGTTCTTCAAAAGGAAAATGAAGTTCTGATATTTGGGAATTGTTAATTTTACTACACTCTCCGTTTTCAGTAAAGTGGAATTTTGTGGGAAATGGAGAGAAGCAGCTTCCTCTGGAGGTGGGAGACACTGTCTTCATCCAGGAGGCCTGTGATGGTAAGAAAAACAATGATATTAAAATTATAATTATTATTAAGTATAAAGTTTCAGCATAGAATAAAAAGTCAATATAACTGTACTGTACCAGTCATGTGTATGTTTAATGGCCCCTCGGTATTACATTTTAATTAATACATACGGTATGCATAAATTCAGTTCATTTATTTAAAAAATAATAAGTGAATGAATAAACAGTTGGTTTCATGTTGGCAGTAAAGTTATTCATTTTTTGTCAGACAAGAGATTTCCTTTTCATAACACATTTTTCACTCACATTGTTACATTACTGTGATAAAGATCAAAATATAGCACAGTTTTCAGTGTTGGGTTAGAACCAGTGTTCGAAGAAACCAAGAGGTTTTTCCCTAAATAACAATTATTAAATTTTACTTTTCTTTCTTCCATGTTTTTGTTATTATAAATGTTCACAGTGACTTAGCATTTGACACATTTTAGTCCTTAACACGAAAGATAGTTAATATCTTCACAGTACATGAAGTACATCTGTATATCCTGTTTACAAACACAATGTGACGATGGTTTTCCCGCCTTCAGGCTGGTACTGGGGTTACCTGGCCAGAAACAAAGCTCTTCAGGTAAGATTAAAACTAACACACACATTTATTTGCCCCTTCACGATTGTTGTCCCTTCTAAAGTCTCCCACTTCCTCACCAGGGCGTGTTTCCTGCCAGTTTCATCCATCTTAAAGAAGTTGTCATTAAAAAACGAGGGTAAGAGAAGAGTTCCCGCCGTCTGACGCTGGAAGAGTTTCTGTGAGCCACTGCTGACTCGTCTGTGTGTGTGTGACTCTAGAAATGAGGAAGTGGTGACGTCGGTGGAGATGCCCCTGGTGAAGGAGGTGACCACCACCCTGAGGGAGTGGGGGAGCATATGGAAGCAGCTCTATGTGGTAAAAAAAAAAAAAAAATCATCCCTAGTGTGTGTGTTTGTCAGTGCGTGAGAGTTGTTCTGAGTGTAACCTCTTCCCTCTGTTTGTGTCCAGGCCAATAAAGAGCTGCGTGTACATCAGGTGGAGAGACTGATGTGGGAGCTGATGGAGTGGAGATCTCAGCTCCTGTCTGGGACTCTGCCCAACGATGAATTCAAAGAGCTGAAACAGAAAGTCACCTCCAAGATTGATTACGGCAACAAGTAAGTCTGTCTGAGAACACAACCCTACATTTACGGCACCTGTACGGAGTCCGCTGTCAGGGAGGATTTATTCTCTCTCCACTTCTCTGCTCAGCAGCCTCCTTCACTTCCACCTGTTTGTTCTCCCCCTTGTTCAACTTAAATCCTTCCTCCCAAACTCCAGGATCTTGGGGCTGGACCTGGTTGTTCGAGACAAAGATGGAAACATCTTGGACCCGGAGCAGGCCAGTGTCATCAGTCTGTTTCAGGCCCACGAGGAGGCCACGGCCAAGATCAATGAACGCATCAAGGAGGAGCAGGTACAGAAGGAGATAGAGCAGCAGGAGGAGGTGGATGGGGAGAGGCTGAAGTCTGGAGTAGAGTCTTAGAGACTTTAGACTGGATTCAAAGGCAGTTATCAGGAAAACGTTGATTCACTTCACAACTTCAGGGATATGACTGTGGTCTGTGGTCTGTCTGCACTAGATAAGGGATTTTCACCAAGAAAAGTTTTGTCATTTAAAAAAAAAGTGGGGTCTTCTTATCAATGACTGAAGAAGCCAGTGGGAACTATAAAAGAACCGCATTCCATCATTTTATATATTTATTTTTATATATAAAAAGGGAAAGTTAAAATGCCGGGAAAAATAAATTTTTCTTATCAGCTGTTATAAAAACATAAACAGACGGTCGGCCTCCACCAACCACATATGGATTCAAGAGCATGCGATTTGGACAAGGTATTTGGACAGTTTGCATGCTGCCAAAATGTAATGGCAGGGACTGACCTGCGGAGGCCACTAACTTTAAACCCCGCAGCTTCTAATAAATGGTTATAAATATTTTCAAGTTTTCAATTGAAGTTCAAAGTCTTGGTTTTCAAAGAAATATAGTTGTTTATGAAACATTTAAATTATTTTATAGACCAAGTCCAAGTCCAATATAACCTCAGCTTGATTTTATACCGAACAAGTTATTTTTATTTTAGTTAATTAGGCTGTCAGTGTCAGTGTCACCTTCCCTCCCCTGTCACTCATTAACAGCTCATTTATCAGTCTCTAAAGTGAAGGTTGTCTGGTGTTCATCCGGTTAATGCCTTGCCCTGAGTTAACCCTGCTCCATGGAATGTCATGTCCTGCAGTCCAACATCCAGACAGACCACAGTGGGATCTCAGCACGGATCCAGTCGTCCCCCACCCACAGTCTTTACGTCTTTGTCAGGAACTTTGTCTGTCGCATTGGAGAAGACTCGGAGCTCTTCATGTCCCTGTATGACCCAGTCAAACAGACCATCATCAGGTATCAGTCACTCTTCACAAGATTTCAATAATACAAACTCACAGCTGATATAAAAACGTATATTAAATGGGTGTACTGTATATTTATAAAGTAGTATTTTTTGCAGTATTTCCTTTACTTTTCCACTGTTTATTCTCAGATCCCCACATTTCAGCCCACACACGGTGGACTTCATATCCTCTCTCTTTTCTTCTCTGATCAACTCCACCAACTTGAAACAATTATATGCCAAAAATAAGAATAGTGGAAACACAAATTACAGGGCAGCAGATAATGAGTGACAGGGCTGTGTGGTACTTGACAGAGTCGATGCTCAGACCTGTCACTCACTGTCGTACTGGATATACCACCATCTGCCACTGCAGTGGAGACCATGGAGATAAACTCTTACCAATCACAATCTATTTCACTGTCTGTCAACTTCCCTTCTCTCTCACCTCAAATGTGGAGGTCGTCGGTCTGTAAGGTTAAATGTATATATTTAACAACAGTGCTGATTATGTATGTTCTTGAACAGAGGTCAGAGCACTGAAGTCGGATTTATTGTGCAAGTTTACATTGTTTTGTTTTTACTATAAACTGTGCTGTGTCACATCTGTAAACTGAACCGACAAACATTCTAAATGGAATCTAATTGGGCGCAAAAAAACTTCTGCTTTATTGCTTTTTTAAAACAAAGTATTTTTTATTTCCCTCATATTTATACTCTTCACGCAGCGAGAACTACTTGGTTCGCTGGGGCAGCAAAGGATTCCCCAAGGAAATTGATATGCTCAACAATCTGAAAGTTGTCTTTACGGTAAGTGACCACCGGAGGGCACTGTTGCATTTGTTTTAAAGCAGTACGCGTTGAAATCGTAGCTAGATTCTTCTTTTTTTTCTTTTTTGCTCTTTACATTCCTCATATCTTTTAACTCTCGGTTCAATCTTCTTCTAATTTTCCAGGACTTGGGAAACAAGGATCTGAGCAGAGAGAAGATTTATCTGATCTGTCAGATAGTCAGAGTGGGCAAGATGGACCTGAAGGAGACCAACAAGAAGTGCACTCAGGGTCTGAGGAGGCCGTTCGGTGTGGCAGGTACTGTACACAGACAGAAGTCAGTACTGCAGTTATAATAAGTAATGTAATACTAGTACTAGTTGCTTCCATCAGGGGTTGGTAAGTCCGGAAATGAGTTTTAAATCCTCAAAAGCACGGACTTTTGAGGGTCTTGACGACTTGTTGCATTAGTGTTTTTAGTATTTCATGGTTTATTTACATTTTACTAAATGTACACTTTGAATCTGTTAAATACAAATACAAAGTCTTTACTTCTGACAAAACTAAACCAGACGCAACAGATCTTCATCTCTCTGGTCCTCCAGGCTCCCAGCATCTGAAGCCTGTCACCGTGGACTGAAGTGAATCCACAACAGAAGTTTCCGTTTTGTTGCATTTTCTTTCATTTCTCTCTCTCTGACAGACACTGTTGTTGTCTTGTCCCGGCAGTGATGGACATCAGCGACATCATCAAAGGGAAGATTGAACGCGATGACGAGAAAGAGATTTTCATCCCCTTCTTCCCGTATGTCCTATTTTCTGTGTTACACCACCTTTCCTCCTCCTCTTCCTCCCTGTGTCCCTTTTGTCTGTTCTTCTTCTTCTTTTATGTCCAACTTTGCACTATTTTTGAAAGTTTGAAGAGTTTATGTGTGTGTTTTTTAGGGTTTTTTTGTGTATCTGTCTCCAGGGCGATTGCAGAGAACGACTTTCTTCACACTTTACTGAACAAAGTGACTGCATCTCGCAGGGACAGCGGCGGCCAAGGTACCGCTCTGCACTTTCACACTCACTTCTGTTTCCTGGTGTGGAAATTATGCCACTGTTCTGCCAGTGTTACCAGGCCTAATGGTCTTAATGTTTCCACTGGACGGTGGAGGCTCCTGTCGCTGGTGTGACCCATTAAAGTAGCAGCTCCACACCCTCTCCTCTCCCCTCCTCTCTCCTCTTTGCTCCCACTCTGTGTGTGAGGATGATGGACATTATCCTGATGGACAGTGTTCGCCCTTGAGGCCTGTCGCTTTGATATTACTCACTCTTTATGTCTCCCTCACCAGCCTCTGGTGTCGCCGGCCACTCCTTCATGTTTATGGTGGTCTTTGACAGCTGCTGTGGTCGACACTGTGTTGTCGCTAATGAAATAGCCTCAAATGCAGAACTTTGCTGTCATGACGCTGAGATTTTGACCTTCCTGTTGCTCCTGGATGCTTTGGAGAGCAACCCAGATTTGAACGGAGGATCCCAGTGAACAGATATGGAAAAAAAAAACAGTACTCCGGGCCATCTATGGGTTTTTAACATTACTCACCCTTTATCTCTCCTTCCTCCCACTTTTAAAGTCTTCTGCCGCTGTACACGCATGAAGTAACACACATTTACTTTTCCCTGCGGGTCTCCTCTCTGTTCAGCCTTGAAAATCTGGGTTTGTGACATAGTTAAGATATCGCCGACTATTTTCGATGAAGTAGGTCCCTTGTTTTTTTCAGCCCAGGCATGTTTTATATTTTGTATATTATTTTGTTTTGTTTCAATTCCAATCCGTTTTAATCAGGCTTTCATCCTTTTGCTTCCCATTCACAGACTAAACGTTCTCTAGCGTTTGCTAACACTTAATCATCCCCCAGTGATTAATGCAAAACACCGTCAAATGTTTTGAACTCTGCTGTTATTGCAGGCCCATAAACCACTTAGTTATTCATTTGGCTTTGATTTATATTTTACCTACCTGCAGAAAAATCCACCTTCTTACAACAGGCTGTCGGAGTCCTGAACACACACATCGGTCAAATATGACACATCGCCCTCACAGTCTGCTGCACTCCATCCTTCATCGCACACACACACACGCAAATAACCTCATTCATAACTCGCCGGCCTTGTGAGCTTTACAGAGCTTAACACACAAACAAACAAACACTGCTCTGTGGATGGAAAATGAAGCTGTGAGAGAATACAGAAAATGAGAGGTTGTCCGAAAAAAAAGTCTACTGCAGTACCTCGTACAAGGACTGTCGTCAGAACCCATTTAGGTTGGGTTTCGATAAATGCTGTATACCTTGTATTCTCAACTGAAGTTTTCATTTGTCTCACGATGCATAATTTCACAGTGTGAGTCTTTGCATCTCACAGGCTGCCACAGGAGGCGCCATTAGTGCTGTATTTTCCAGACTATAAGTCGCACATTTTTTTCATCTTTTGGCTGGGTTTGTGACTGATATATTAAAATATATGATTTCATATGTTTGTTATTTTCACTAGAGGGCACTCTAGCTGTCTGGTGCGACCTTTGTGTAAGTGCTTAGTAGTACTTTTACTATCAAAATACTGAGTGAATCTCGAACCCCGTCTCCATTCAGGTCTGTGGGTGACCATGAAGGCTATGGTTGGGGACATTGTTCAGATCAGGAAGGAGTATCCTCACCTGGTGGACCGCAGCACAGTTGTGGCCCGCAAACTGGGCTTCCCGGAGATCATCATGCCCGGGGATGTTCGCAATGACATCTACCTCACCATCCAGGGCGGAGACTTCGACAAGTACAACAAGACCACTCAGAAGAACGTGGAGGTCATCATGTGGGTCTGTGATGAAGAGGGCAAGGTCATACAGGTGGGCTGAGCCGCTGCTGCACATCGACCAATAAACAGAGAGTCAGAGAGTTGGAGTCAAAAGTAAACAACAAATATTTCATCCTTATATAAATATTTTTCTCCCCAGAACTCCATCTGTCTGGGAGCCGGGGACAAGGCTGTCAGTGAATATAGATCTGTCATCTACTACCAAATCAAGCAGCCTCGATGGATGGAAACTTTTAAGGTACGTCGTTATTTGTTTCCTGGCTTTTGTTTATTTATTTTTGCCTATGAATCACTATCTTTTGTTTGATTTCATATATTCTTTGTTTAAAAAAAAATGCAAAGATTCATTGTACTATATTCTTTAATGACACGAGCTGTCCTCCAGGTGGCAGTCCCTCTGGAAGAAATGCACCGGATTCACTTGCGCTTCATGTTCGCTCTTCACAGGAGTGTAAGTTTCATCCTCTCCTCTGTCCTCCCCATCTCGAGGGGGACTCGACTCCTCTCCTGCTGCATCTGTAATGTCAGTTTAAGAAGGAATAAATGATTGAGGCAATTTAGAAAATGGATTCCTGGCACGCTTGATCAGAGAAACCCTCAGATTTTTTTTTCTCCACCCATTCTTTAACAGTCAAACCTTCATCCTTAATTTTCCAAAGGGAACTCCCAAGGGATAAATAAGGTCCTATCCATCCATCCATCCATCCATCCATCCATCCATCCATCTATCTATCCTCTCCTCTTTTAGTGACCCTTACTCCCCCTCTCCTCCCTTTTCATTTACATCTCTGTCTCTGTTTGTCTCCAGCCAAGGACAAGAGTGAGAAGAACTTTGCGATGGCCTTTGTTCGTCTGATGAAAGACGACGGTACAGTTCTACAAGATGGAACGCACGACCTTATTGTTTTCAAGGTCAGTGACACAATAATTACAAGTATTCTTTTTTATTTTTAAAAATTCGAAATAAAATATAACAAAATATCTTTAGGTTCGACTCCTGTCGAAAATAACAAAAAACAGGAAAATCCTGTATGTTAATGACACCAGCAGCTACGAGTCTTAACTTATCGTTTACATCCAGTCATGAAAGGACGGCGACTGTTGCCTGATGAGAGGAATTTAATCAATTCAAGTGAAAGCATCTGCAGACACCTGTTTAGCTGCAACCTTCACAAAAGTGCTTCTACACATACAGTACGGTAAATCTGAAT